CGAGTTTGAATGACTCGTCAACAAATGGTTCGTATGAAAGATAGTTATTCATTATTAGTGAATTTGTTGTCGTTGCCATTGCCGAATTGATTAAAGCACCACTCGTCGTCATAGACGCATCAGATATTTAACTTTAATCTCATCTCTCATGATAATATATATAAAATAGAAATTTCTAAAAGAAAAGAATAAAAACGAACTAGCTTTAAAAAAATTGATCAATTTATTCTTTTCCTCTTTTATACGTGTGACGGCGGCCATTTTTGATGGGAAAAATTGACGGCTAGCGGGAAACAACCGGCTACGTTTACGCTACAAAAGTTAACTCACGAGGGAACATATGTAAGTGCCCCCTCGCTTTTTCAACGAAACCTAGTGGGTTATAGGTTATCGATGATGCTGATTCCGAATATAAATATGAGAGCTGCCCTTAGGGCTCCGAAGACCCGTTTTTCCGGAAAACCAGTTTTTCAGAAACTCTGAAAAACACCCAAAGCTTTTCTTAATAATCCATACTTGTGGCCCGCACATTTCTGATTAAAACGAGACCTCCCCCAGCTCTACATGACCTTTCTTTGCAAAGTTATAGAATTTACGAGAAAAGCCCTAAATATTCATTGTCAACTCAAAGCTACAGAAATAAGAAGAAATTAATTTAGGGCTCTTCGTGTAAATTCTATAACTTTGCAAAGAAAGGTCATGTAGAGCTGGGAGAGGTCTCATTTTAATCAGAAATGTGCGGGCTACAAGCATGGCTTATTAAGAAAAGCTTTGGGTGTTTTTCAGAGTTTCTGAAAAACTAGTTTTACAGAAAACCGAATCTTCGAAGCCTTAAGGGTAGCTCTCATATTCATATTCGGAATCAGCATCATCGATAACCTATAACCCACTAGGTTTCGTTCAAAAAGCGAGGGGACACTTACATATGTTCCCTCGTTAGATGTTTTTCATAAATCAAATAATACCTTTAATAAGTCGTTTGAACAATCCACGAAATAAAAATGATAGTAATGGTCCAGCTAGATCCAATCGTTTATTTCCTAAATGATCTCGATCATCGAGTTCACGTCTGCCAAGAGCAGCTGACAATAAACGATGTACCATATAGCCAAGAAAATAAACTTTTTTTGTCTCACAATGTTGTGTAATGCCGATGTGTGGCAACATTTCTTTTTGAAGGATATCTTTTGCATAGCGAATGCGTTTTTCACGTGGTACACCGGCGTGACTCCCACGAGCGCCAATAAAATCTAATGCTAATTTATCATCTTGAATTACAAATGCTTCATCTAACGAAGGTTTTACCTAAACGAAAGGGAACTGTAGGCTGTTGTTCAGTTAACGTAAGCAAGAATTAAAAAGTTAAAGTAAACGTTCTATTTTGCTTTGATGTTCTAAAATAATCAAATAATAACTTTATTTGAGCGAGAAAGTCTGAGAAAACCTAGATTCGACTGGTGGTATGTTACATTTTTACCCAAAATAAGTCGTATATTCGCGGTCGTCATGCAAAAATAAATCAAAAGAGTAGCTTCTTCGCATCTTCGAAGAGAAAAAACAAAAATGTGAGTTAGAGGAAAACGTCTTTCACTCAACACTTATACGAAATTTTTTCCGAAAAACTAGCAGAAATTCAAATATCTCTAGAAAAATGCTTGATCAAAAATATCGTCTTATCCTCGATACAGATAAATCTTGTTTGAATTAAAGTAAGCAGTTTAGTAATCTTCTTTCTCAGCTTTAATCTAAGGCTATGTGTATTGGATATAAACACTTGTTCAACAGGGAACTTCACCTTTACGCACCTAAAATCTAGGCTGTTTTTCTAGGCTCAAGTTAACAACAACTTACTTTTTCCATCATTTCCATATCATCAAAATCATAAATAATGTGTTCTAGAACATCTCGATCTGATACGTGTCCAAGTGCTCGAAATACGATCATAATTGGAATTTCACGATTGATATATGGTAATATGCCAACAATTGGTTGACCAATAGCACTTTTCCGACCACCCTTAAACAAACAAATAAAATTTTACACATTGAATAACGTAAAAACCTTGTCAGGACAGCCTCTCACGGGGCTAAAATTGTGAAACTCCTCAAAAATTGTTGAATAGTTTAAGACGATGTGGCCACCAGGGGGAGGTTAAAAAAATGGCCAAATCAAGGGCTTTCGAGTACAAATTTCAACTTCTCTTTCTTTCGGAGATACAGAAGTTCTACAAAACATTCTTGTCTAACACTCTGTGACCGTATTCCTCAAACAAGAGTACGGTGTGTAAAAGTGTCAGTTTATTTTCAATATTCGAGACACGTAGCAGTCATGTATCATGAAAATACATCCCTAACTCTATGGCTCGGATTCGAACACAAATACTTCGAATTTCAAAGCGAACATAGTTCCAACTGAATCACTTTACAACATCCACGGTACAGATGAACTAGTACACAATGAATCGTTTGAAAGTGACTCTGAATCAATTTTGATAAAATTTTGCATGCTCTCAGTCCAAGAAAGGCAATATTTGAAGTATTGTATCAGTGCTTTGATCAACTCTTCATAGATCATCATTGAGCATGGCCTTTTTTTCTGGAGTGATTAGAACATGATCGAGCATTCGTTTCGAAGGCAAATTTTAAATAAACTAACCTGTCCACCTTTAGCCATCAAGTTAACCCATAATGTACTTGTTGGACGACTAGAATTTTCTAATACCGATCGAACTTCACATTTGTAAGCAAACTTGGAATCTTTCATTGAAAATACATAAACTAGAAAAGAGAAATAACCAATATGAATAAAGTACTATGTCTGCCTGAGCTCACTCTCACCGGTATTTGTTGCCATTTTTTCTTGGGCAATAAGTACTTTTTCCGACCCGTTAATAATAAAATAGCCGCCAGGATCTAACGGACATTCATTTAATTCTGTTAGATCTCGATCCGACATATCTGACAGCAGGCAATAGGCTGAACGTAACATAATCGGAATATCACCAATATAAACTTTATCACTTTTTGTTTCTTTTGGTGTTTCATTTTCTTTCATGACAGTTTTTTTCAAATCAACATATAATGGTGCAGCATAAGTCAAATTACGTAAACGAGCTTCATTTGGCCACAAATAAACGCTTCCTAAACAGAAGAGAGATATATCAGAAAGGAATATCGTTGTACTCACATGCTGAAACGTACTAGTCTAGCAGAATACTCAAGTAGTCACGAATCTTTCGAAGAGGAAAACTACAAACAGCAAAAAGTTCTTTCGTCCTGTGGTCTAATTCAACATTTTTCCGATTTTAGGTTACTAAGGTCCAACTTCTAGCTGCAGGCTTGTACTGATAAATAAGCAGCTTTAGCTCTATCCTAGTTATAATTTATGATTTGTCTTCTCTTCTGCAAAACTAATGTTTTCTTACCTTCATTTGTTGTATGAGTTGGCTTTGATAAATAAATTTGTTCAAATTTAATGTTGTATTTTGGCGGTGTCTCTTTACTACCGGTCATGTACTGAGCTTGTGCTTGCAATTCGATTGCTCGAGAATCTTCAACAATTCGTTGAACGGACATTTGAATAAATTCATCGAATGAATCGAGCTGTTGTCGAACAAGACCCTTTTCATCAAAATAAGATGATATAACGGTCCAACAAGCTTCTTGCCACAAGTCTGATGTAATATCACCATCTTCATCAATATCATCTTTCGCACCAAAAAATTCTAAAACATAAGAAGACATCATATTAAAACATGTATCGAACGATAAACAGATTTGCAGCCTACTTAACAGATGAAAATATGCGTAGGAAAAATAAATTGATTCCAGGAATAGAAGCTTTGAGTAAAACTCGCAGTTAGCATAATAATAATAGAACGGCTACAAATACCTGATAGTTTTTTTTTTAAAACGATAGTTTTTATTTTTTGTTGTTATTCCTATTTGTCTATGTTGTGTTTCTTCAGATAGTCAAGTACAATGCTTTACGATTTCTGACTATCTGTGATGCTTATTTCAGCTGACTAATAAATATAGATTAAACTAAACTAAATACCTCATAAAGGTCTTTTTAATACTTTCAAATAGAGCTTTTAAAAAGAACAGAAATGCCTGATTGTCAACTTAGCTACACATTTCTAAACTATGGAAACATCGCTATTATCATTTACATCCAAGAGAGTTCAAGAACTACTGCACTACTCAGAGAAACTGCATATAGGATAATTTTTCATATCAAACAAAGGCGCTGTAATGACTCTTAACAGATAATCTTCACTTGAACAGATAGAGTCTTTTTTTTTCTGATTTCTTTTTTTGTAATACCTCTTTGAGATTGATCGTTGTCTGAGGAATACATATTTTAAAATATTTACAAGTCTGTTTTCGGCCTCAGATAGAACAACATGTGCAATCTTGTTACCTTGTAGTTATAGCAAAATAGATAGAAAATTGCCATTTTGTTTTGCATGGCTTTTGAACTTCATGCATAACTCTATACCGTATCAGTCATGTTAAGAAAACGTTGTATTTTGTAATTTCTTGATAAAATATTAATTATCCAAATGAAATATGAAGCGCAAATTTGCCGACCGAAAGTTACAATCTGCATGAACGGAGAGAACAATACTCAAATTTTGGTTCGATTAATTTATCACCAATAAATAGATGAACTATACTAGAGAATAATATAAATATCTCTCATGAGAGACGAAGAAATAAAAAGAAAAAAATACAAAATGAACAAATAATACAAACAAGTGTAGGCAGGTTTAACGATAAAACGATCACTTTCATCATCAAATATCCAATTTATGACGACATAAAAACTGTCTGACATTGGAGAATATCGTATAACGGTACACTAGTTAGAAATTTTCTTGAACAAAAATCTTTCTGATTATAACTGAATGTAAACAAATAAAATAAGTTCAAAAATCGATTTCATACCAGATTCAATCGTTCTACATATTTTCTGCAACCTGATAATTCATTATAGTTTTACTAAATTTATTTAATTTCTGTTTTATTTTTAGATTTCTTTCTCATAAACATGTTTTCTCGTACAGCTGTGGTCTGTCAACTTCTTCATCAATTTCATCAACCATCTCGATCATTTTCAATGAAAAACTTGAAAACTTCATTCAACAGTGAAACAGTGACAAATATTTTCAAAAATAATTGGAGAAGCTTAGCATCAATCACACAACCAGTTAAAAGAAAATTTTGTAAGTTTGATTTTGAAAATAAAGTAAGAGATATATGGTAATAATAATTTATTTAATTACCGGTGGGTGAGAGATCATCAAAGGTTTAACCTGTAAAATGATAACTCCTGCTGAGATCTAGACGTATATAAAAAAAGTGTAACAAGAAATAAAGTAAAGAAAAACGAAATCAAAGAGATACAAAATAAACAAAAGAATACAACATTGAAAGAAAAGACAGTGAAGATCTGAGAGAGAAGATTATTAGTAAGTTTACTTGATCATGACCATTTTCATTTTTTATTTTAGTGGCTCGATGGCGTCGTCGTTTTCGTAATGCGCTCATAGTAACCTTCGTCGTTGGTGGCTCCGTCTACGGTTATAAACTTTATCGTTCTCGTCAATGGTACAATGAAATGCGTGATTCTGAGCTGACTATTGGACAAAAACCTCGTGTCGTTGTGTTAGGCACAGGATGGGGAGCTGTACCTCTTTTAAAACACATCGATACGTCAAAATATGAAGTTGTTTGTGTTTCACCGAGAAATTATTTTCTGAGTAAGTTAAACTACAATTGTTTTTCCAAATACTAACCTTTTTTAAACTTTTAGTGACTCCATTATTACCTTCAGTAAGTGTTGGAACAGTCGAAACAAGAACAGTTATTGAACCAATACGAACCCTCGTGGGACCAAGAATTAAATATATTGAAACCGAATGTATTAATGTTAATCCAAAAGAAAAAATAATTACATGTTCAGCTGATGGAACAAAGGGTAATCAAAATGAAACAAATAACTTTAGCAGAACATTGAATTTTATTATCGTTCTATTTAGAAATCACTGTTGCAGCTTCCGATCGTGATAAATTACCTTTGGAACAAAATATTGAAGACAATAAAGAGGGTGGATCATCGTCAAGAAAAATTCGTGATAGTGCACGAACACGTCCTAAATTCGATATGAAATATGATTATTTAGTTGTAGCTATTGGCTCAGAAAATAATACATTTGGAATACCCGGTGTTGAAAAACATGCTCATTTTCTTAAAGAAGTTTTAGATGCTCGAAGAATTCGATCGGCTATTTCGGATGCATTTGAATCAGCCATGGTACCATCACAAACAGATGAAGAAAAAAAACGTCTTTTACATTTTGTTGTTGTGGGTGGAGGACCGACAGGTGTCGAGTTTGCGGCTGAGGTGCGTGTGTGTGTGTGTACACGATCCTATTTCATATAGTTTATTACTGATACTATTTTATTTTTTTTAACAGTTAGCCGATTACGTTCGTGAAGATTTAAAACGTTATTTTCCACGATTAGTTGAAAATGATGTTAAAATAACATTGATCGAAGCGTTAGATCATGTTTTATCAATGATGGTAAAAAAATATTATTTTCAAACTATAAAGATTGAAAAAAAGAAACATAATTTTTGATCGATTTTTTTTTTCTCTTTTTTTTTTTAGGATAAAAAGATTAGTGATTACACTGAAAAACATTTTCATCGTGAAAACATTGAAGTATTAATTAATACATTTGTCAAAGGTATTAAACAAAGAGAAGTTATTGTTCAAGAAAAAGGTTCGACAGAATTAAAATCAATACCGTGTGCAGTTGTTGTATGGGCAACAGGAATCAAAGCAAGACCATTAACAAATAAATTACGTGAAACTATTGGTACTGATAAACAAAATAATCGTATGGGTCTATTAACTGATAAATATTTAAGAGTAAAAGGTGTTGATGATGGAACTATCTATGCACTTGGAGATTGTGCTACCATTGAACAACAAAAATTATTAGATCGAATACAACTATTATTTGAAGAATCAGATATACATAAACGTGGTGCATTAACATTAGATGAATTTAGATCATTGATTGAAAACAAAATTAATGAATATCCACAGGTAACGAGAATATCAAAAGTCTACCCAGAGTTCCCAAGCAGGAGAGTACTCGTCCTTCCCCCAAAACATTTTTTTTGGACTTTCTCGCAAAATCTTTGACATTTTTTCAGCAGCAACTTTCGACCAAAAATTTCGAAAACGTTTTTGCGCCAGGCACTTTCTGCGAAGCAAAATGTTTTAGCTCCTCCCATTTCTAAAAACAAACGGAAAGCCGAAGTCAAACCAATGTGATTTATTTGTGTTTTAGCTTGAAATATTTCAAAAAGGTATTGAAAAATCATTTTATGAAGCTGATAAAACAAAATCTGGACAGATTACATTAGAAGCATTACGTTCAGTATTGGAAAAAGCAGATAAAAAATTACGTTCTCTCCCAGCCACAGCTCAAGTAGCAACACAAGAAGGACGTTATGTTGCAGATTTATTAAATTATATGGCACATCCAACCACAACAACAACGTCTGAACGATTCAAACCGTTTAATTATACACATTTAGGATCATTAGCGTATGTGGGTAAGTAGACGAATATACCGTCTATAAATAGTATGTTCTGATAACGGTTCGGTCTATTTAGGTGGTGATGCAGCTGTTATCGATTTCAGTGGTTCAAAACCTCTTTTAGACATATTTTCATTAAAGCCATTGTCTGGTAGAGGTTCATATTACTTATGGAAATCATTTTATTTTACCGAACAATTTACAACAAGAACAAAAGTTTTATTAGCGTTTGATTGGCTGAGATCAAATATATTTGGAAGAGACCTTAGTCGATATTAGTAGACATGATATATCTAGTATTTTAATCCAATCTCTTTTCATATCATATATTTTCGCATTATTTTAGTAGATTAATTTTTTCTTCATATATTTCCAATCAGACATGCAACGGTTATTTTATCGGAGCTCTCGGAAGTAGTAGTTTTAAAAATCGGAGAAACTTTTCAAAAATTTTTCGAGTCAGCAGTTTTGTGCAGGAATATTTTGCTCTATCAAATAAGACGTTGCAGGCTTTCTCACGGTGGTTCGTAGATGAGATACAAAGCTTTTTGTTAAAAAAGGAACCGGTTATTATTAACTGGCGGTTAACGGTCGGTTATAACCGACCCTATTTTAGAGAAAAAAAACTCATATTTCATCTATGAACCATCGTGAGAAAGCCTACAACGTCTTATTTGATAGAGCAAAATATTTCTGCACAAAACTGCCGACTCGAAAAAATTTTTGAAAAGTTTCTCGGATTTTTAAAACTACTACTCCTGAGAGCCACGATAAAATAACCGTTGCATGCCTATTTCCAATTAGTGGCAGATTTACAATAAGAAAACGACTACATTCCACCGAAATTTTTTATTTCATAGAACTTCTTTTGGTTTAAAAATGAGTTACTCTATCTTTTCAAAACATTCTGTCAAAAAATGTTACATAGTGACTAATTTTCCGAAAATACGCAGTGAACGGAAAATTTTTCTAGATTCATCACTATTTTCAATCACAAGTTCATCTAATAAAAATTTAGCAAAACTCTATATCGATTCAGTTACTTTGTACGTCTATTATTTACCTTCTCAACGATTAATCACCTGTATTTCTATTTAACAAAAACTGAGTTGTTGTTTTTTGTTATCGCTTTGATCTCGAATTTTATTCAAATTACCGGTTTTTATTCTTATTTGCCGTAAAGTTGACAATTCTTGTGTGTTTTTCACTTCTAGACAATATTTTTTTTTTTGTTTTTTTAGAGAATAGTTTATCATCATAGTTAATTTTTTTTTCTTGTTTATAATAACTGAGCACAATCCCACTTTTTTTGTTTTTTTTATTGTATAATTGCATTATTGAAGTTAAAAGATTAAATAAGTTAAACTATTTTCTTTATATTTCATATAGTAATATTTTCAAAGTAGATATAGATTAAATTAACAATCATTATTCGAAATATATGTGAATTTAGAGAGTTTTGTGTTAATTCTCTAATATTTTACGTTGAAAAAAGAGTAGTACTATAAAAATGAATTTATTGTCATCGTCACGAATTGTTTGTGGATATTCGACTGTTGTTACTAATTGCCATTGTTTCATAGCCATAGTATTTAAAAATTCTGAACAATTTATCTTTTCAAGAAGATCGCTTAATTTATGTCGAAGTTTCAAAGAATATTCAATGACACAATATTCATATTCTTCTTGTTTTTGCCACTGTTCAAATATCCAATAAGCGGTAAATGTTTGCTTTTTTATTGTTAGTGAATCATCGTTATTATCAGTCGTATTGTTATGGTGTAAAAAAGAAAATGTCTGTCGTAAAGAAGATGGTTTATCAACTGTTGTAAGATGTGGTGTATGTAATTGAATGTCACGATGAATAATGATACTACGTAGACGATAGCCTAATTTAGAATATTGAATAAACGGTTGTAACCACTCAGTTGGATAATCAGTCACTTTTGTCATACTTTCTTCAGTGGAAACTGTCTTTGTTTCTGTTGAACTCCATTCGGATAATATGATCTCATATTTAGATGGAATCGATAAATTTGTTACAGCTTGTTCAGATAATAACAAATTATTTGGTTTTGTATAAATCACATAATCTCTATTTGCTGAAAAACAACAACCGAAAAAAGATTTTCAATGCTCTTTGCTCAAGCAGAATGCGCAAATACATTTCTTTTAAGAGTTGAACTATTTTTACCTGTAGTAAATTGTTCAACTTGATCGATTATGTCTTGTATGTGTGTGTCTGAGAATGATAGTATCGATAATAATTGTCCATTTTCATTTATAATTCGATCTAATAATCCTTGTAAAATATCAATAATATTTTCTTTTGCATGTTTTTGTAAAGATGTTCTTGGTAATAAAAAATTTTCAACAAATATTGCTTGAGTATGTTGTTCGTTTAAAGAATCATTTGCTTGTTCTTTATAATAAATAGCATCCACTTTTAAAATGGAATGTACTAGGTGTCTTTTTAAATTTCCTGATATTTGTTTAACATCTACTAATTTTGTACCGTATGGAGCGTGTTGAAATAGACCATGAGCTAGTGCATATGTTTCAAACTCTAGACGCGGTGTTATTGTGCTGTACTGTTTATCAGCTAAAGTTATTTGGAGTAAGTCGATAAGGACGCTCTTTTTTAAATACATCACACCTCTCTAATACGGTATGTGACGCATAAAGTACCATAGATGCTGTTTTTAAAAAAGAATGGTAATCCTGCTTAGTGAACATTGTAATACACAGAGTCAACTATGAATGAGTTTCGATCAATTCGTTATATGTGCCAAACCTGCAATAGTTTCTTGAGTCAACCATCTTTTTGATACAATTTCACTTAGTTTCTATGATTCTTTCTGTCCACGCTATTTTCAGGCATCTTTGATGACTTCGCTCATACAGGTAGATCAATTTGAATGTTATAATATCGTTGATTACCCGCTGAAGGTAACAATGAAATTGAATTAGAAGATTCTCTTCGACGATTATTTCTTCTTCTCCGTCTTCTCCGTCTTTTTACCGATGATGGTGATGATACTGAAACTGATGTCGAACTTTCTTTTAAAACCTTCGACTGCAAATGTTTTTGTTGTAATTCATCGATGTCTTCTTCTCCAATAACGACTCGAAAATTTCTATTCCAAATAGTTTGATTATCATGATGTTTATATGGTAATGATAACGACTTTCCCGCACCCATTGTGAACGAATGTAAAAACAATGATATTATCGATTGCTAATTTAAAGAGTTACTGAAATCACTTGTTTTTGATCATTTGTTCAATATTTAGCTGATGAAAGCTTTAATAAAATGAACCTTTAGAAGCTCTCAAGCGATATCTGAATACAGTCAACGTTTGAAATCTTTGTAGGTACAGTTAAGTCATTTTTGACCTGAGACAGACGATATCAGACAGATACATAGATGAAACTTTTAGGCAGAAATCAGCTTAGCTTGTAAAGAAATTTCTGTTCGATTGGTCAGCAATCCGATCCGTCCGAAAAGTTGAATCAACTAAATAGTTTTATCAAAGCTGAATCAAAATCGAAATCAGATCGGTAAAAAACTAAAAAGGGACAAAATTATTTCTCTTTTCTTTTCACGGATTCAGAGTTGGATATCAACACTTTCAGGTCTAACTTAGTTAATCATCTAATGCTGCGGACTTGAGAAGCGCCTTTCATAGTAATAGTCACTCTCTACGCTTATGAACACTGTTCTTAAATGTTTGTTTTGTAGATCGGTTGGGTGCTGCTGTATGAGCAATATTTTTAGATACATAACAGCATCAAATCATAAAGAAAACACATAGATAGAGTAGAGCCCTGGAGGTCATGCATAACCTGTCCTGACAGGTTTAGGTTACGACTTCGTAGTTCAGTATAGATTACAGGTTACGAAAATTTTTACAGGACAGGTTACACTACCCGTATCCTGTTTTCAATCTGTAAAAAAATATTAAGTGCCATCTGTAAAGAGGAAGAAATAAGAACTCGAAAAATAGTTTTTATCAGTCAAAAAAAAAAGCATCAGGAAGAGTATTGAAAACACGAAGACAGTCGTTGAATCCAGATGTTGTTGACGATATATTATTCATTAGAAATTTCAGAGATGTGTGATCTTTTGTTGTTGATTTTTGCTACATAAATAACGTAAATGAAAAGAATTTGCTTTATTAGGAAAAATTTTCGAACTTGGACACTCATTTTTTGCAGTAATTTTTTCGCAGGACAGGACAGAACAGGTTACGCAAAAAATATCGCAGGTTAGAATAGGTTACAGGTTATGAGGGATAAGGTTATGAAAAATTATAGGTTGTTAAAGTTTTTACAGGACACGTTATAGGTTATGAAAAGTTGTAACCTGCAGGGCTCTAGAATAGAGTCATAACTGTTACCGTTTCAATTTCTTTTTGCAGTTCTTTTTCGATAGAGTTGAGTTAGTTTTGACCAGAGGTAAACAATATCATTTAAGCTTACTATGTAGACTTTATTCATAAATATGAAATATCATTCGACTTTTTATCTGAAACTGTAATTGAGGGTTATTATAGAAATACACGTTTACCATTGAAACGCACTCGTTGATATCTTTACATAGAACAAAGATTGAAGATTTCGCTACATTCCATTTTCAAGCGCGAAGTCTTCTTTGTTAAGTATAGAACATTGGTTATTTATAACCATTTTCTAACAATTTTCAAACGTGTGTTAGCATTCAGAGTTTTAAACAATTTGGTCATTTGGTATTGTATTAATATATGTAACCTTAGTTGACTAGTAGATATAGATTAAACTATACGGAACCTTTATCGAAAGCAGTAAAGATTAACTATGCCAGCTACCCTGCGGGCAGATTGGAAAGGCTGAAGAAAATATATTGACCATATTCTTCAATATCGTACCTAATTACTAGAAAATTTCGAAGAGAAAAAGAACAAAATTTAAGAATATATCAAACAATTATTGAAGTTGGACTTTCTCTGCGATTTTCGAAAAAAATGATCTGAGATATAAAAAGTCTTTCTCAGTTGACAAGTTTACAAAGAAGACTTCGCGCTTGAAAATGGAATGTAGCGAAATCTTCAATCTTTGTTCTATGTAAAGATATCAACGAGTACGTTTCAATGGTAAACGTGTATTTCTATAATAACTCTCAATTACAGTTTCAGATAAAAAGTCGAATGATATTTCATATTTATGAATAAAGTCTACATAGTAAGCTTAAATGATATTGTTTACCTCTGGTCAAAACTAACTCAACTCTATCGAAAAAGAAATTGAAACGGTAACAGTTATGACTCTATCCATATGTTTTCTTTATGATTTGATGCTGTTATGTATCTAAAAATATTGCTCATACGGCAACACTCATACCTGAATAGTTTGTATTTAATTTATTTATATAAGAAAGGTGAATAATAAAAGTAGAGAGAATAATAACAATGATTTATTCATATTAATAATAACACATTCGATTATGTATTGTATCTATTTAGATACAAAGACTCTTTCGCTCTTCCAGAACGAAAATTAGTTTTATATGCCCAACATGATTGTAAACATAGATTTTAGGATGTAGCAACATAGACTGTTCTATTTGTTTATTAGAAGAAAGAAGTATCTGTTTCGTTTTTGAAGATCATACTTCTAAACAGAAAACAATCAATATTGCTTAATAGTTTAATTGAGCCTACGATACCTTTATACTGATTATCTGATCAGATTAAGTTTGAAACAAGACAGCATAGAATCGTGTCAAAAATTTAAACTATCTCTTTTTTGCGTAAAATATTTTGTAGATTAAAAAAGAAAAGATGAGAGATACTTACTTAGCAATGACAGATATTGAAATATAACCATAAGAGGACGATTTGTGAGACGAGAAAAAGAAGCTGATGTAATATAAAATGTATGAATAAAACAGAAAATGAAAAGGCTTAACAATATGATTATCGAAGTGGAAGAAATGATTTGATTATCGATCTTATGATCGAACACAACAAAAATCGAAAAATATGAATACATTAGTTTTACAGAGTGTATAGTATGTTGATCAGTAATAATTATTTTCAATGTGCATCATAACATGCGTGCTGATCGCTTAGCTATAACGCCCTATGAAATGAACGTGTCCATTCAATCAATATTTAAAAAATAATCTGTATGCATTGATCTTAAATTAATTCAAAAGAAAGTTTAATTTACTTCAGACTCCAGTCCTTTTAGTTCCACGCAGAGATATCAGATTTAAAACATAAAAATAAGAAAATAAACGTTCAAAATCAGAAAACTAGAATATCTTAGTAGAAAAAAGAGCAGAAACAAAGCAGAAAAAATTTCAAAAATTAGAAATTTTCCGTTGAAATCAGAAGATCTTCGTTCCACGTGAATTAAAATTTTTTATTTTCAAATTAGTGCAACGTAGTCTTTCATTTGAACGATAATGATGTAAGATGTAGAACTCAGATCGTATGATTTACTATGGATGTATATAAGTTTAATTTCGATCTAATGAAAATATCTGTTGAGAAATAACGTAATTTTTCGCTTGTATTCTGATAGAATAAAGCTTATTCTATCAATAACATAAGAAAAAAAAGTTCTAGCTGTAACTTTTATCATTAAAGTATTCTTCAAATTCTGTAACGATCTGATAAAACTGGAATATGAAAGGATGATTAAATAGAAATATGGAGATATTATAAACAACTCACTCATGCTGGCTTTTCAAGCAGTACGCTAAGAGAAGTTCTCCTCTTTTTTCACCCTCTTGGAAAAGGTCTGATCAAGTTCGAATTTTTACCAAAGACACTTCAGATCCTATCTTATACTCTAAATGTTTTTTTAAAAAATATATTTTCCCTGGAATATTCGAAAAATACTGAAAATTCATGGTAAAAAGTCAGTTTTAGATTGTCAAAATCTTCTCATGACAGAAGTTGAAAATTCTGTAAAAAATGTTAGAACGTGCGATAGAGTCTGAACCATTCGTGGTAACAATTTGTGATCGATCGGACTGTTTTATTAAGGGGTGGTGATGTGACTGAATTGGAATCATCGATGCTTCCCACATGATAGATAACACCTTGCAGAAATATTTTCGGCAAAAACCTATTGAAAGATTTCAGAAATGCTCTTCATTGTGAAGAGAACACTTTGCTCTATCAGATTAAGTATAAGAAGAAATTTTGAAGCCACTGGAGACAAAAAAACATTAATAAAACTAAAAATTATTAACGTTTTTCAGACTCTTGAATAATACTTCAAAAAATTCATAACTTTTTCAAAAAAAGTCGTAGAAGAATGGAAGTGGTTGGTCTTATTGTGCAGGTCAGACTATGCTCAAGTCAAAATAAAACATTTTATCAAAAAATGGGGAAGAGATACCCTTAACGATTCGTTGAATTAAATAGATCGATATCCGAGTTATATTAAAAGTAAAATGTTGCATCTAAACATTTTTTCTATATAAGACAACGTATGTACTTAAATATATTTCGTACAAGAATCAATTTATGATTTATGACTTCTGTCTTGTTTAAAGTATTGTCTATATTGTAATTTTGATTATTCAACAAAAAAACACTACAAACTGTCCAAGTCCCTTGCTAAGAGAGACACAAACATAATATAACAGCGGATATAACAATCTCAATAGTTTCAGCGCTAAATTTTAATTTAAAATGGTATATCTAGACGTTTCTCTAACAATCAGAGTTTTAGATGATTTAAAGGTGTTAAATAAGAGTTGAGAAGAATGAATTTAGAAATCGTAAATGGAAATTATTACTTATCTGGTACAGCCGCACTTATTGATGATATTGACAGTAAGTATTATGATAATAAATGGATTTTTATTCATATTTACTCGTATGTTTCAGAACAGTTGATGGTTGTTCTACGAGATGGACGGACATTGATCGGGTTTTTAAGAAGTATGGATCAATTTGGTAGGTAAAATTGTGCAAAGGTGACTGTATTTATATCAAAAGTGATATTATCTGTCATATTTCTAAAAAACAGTATTAGTAAAACTCAATCGTCTTCTTTTTTTTAGCTAATTTAGTTCTTCATCGTGCATTCGAACGCATATGCGTTCAAAATAAATATGCCGATATACCACGAGGCGTTTTTGTTATACGAGGAGAAAATGTTCTACTCATTGGAGAAGTGGTAAGTAATATTTTTATCATAGGTCATATTTTGTGTAACTCCTCACCTGAATTCCTCGAAAAGAGGAAGAATAAGAAGTGAAAGGTTGTAAAGGGAGAGTTGCTGAAAATCCCTTCTCCCCCCTAACGCTTGCGGACGTACGCAAACCCACGGATAATACTGAATATACATTGTATACGCGGACAAGCTAACGGAGAATCTTATAAAATTAAAAAACAAATTAATGTAAACGTACACGCTCGGGGGATATATTTCATGCAGCTCTATATTAGTCCATTACGTTTCAATGGAAGAGTTACACTTTAGATTCAAGGTCTGCGCTGATAATATCTGTTCTTTATTTCTTGTTATTAGGACTTCACTCATCCAATTCGTGTGCCACTTATTGAAGTAACAATTGAAGAAATATTAAAATTACAAAAATTGGATATTGAAAAAAAAGAACGAATTGAAAAATTAAAACAAAAGGCTATGATACAACGAGGACTTGTTCTAGAAGGAAATCCAATTGAAGAACAATTTTAATGATTATTTGTAGTTTGTTTTCTCTTCTATAAACACACACACACACACACAATCTGATATGTAGATATTTATTTGCTGTTGTTGTTGTTGCTATTGTTTATTTTGTTGTTACTGTTAATGAACCATTTACTTTTAAATGAACCGGTGCAAACAAACTGTTATCTTTTCAGAGATATGATTTTTATTAACAAAAATCATATTGACAAAATACAACTGTTGATAACTCAAGAAAAACAAAACTCTTAAACTACCACATAATGGGCGATGGTTTCATATATCTAGACAAGTTTTTTAAAACTTATGTTATTTTAGATAATGGACGGTGAAACACCATACGCATATGAGTATAGTGAATCAGCTGCTTTATTTAATTCATATGCTGAAACAAATCCACCACAGATAACTGCCACTGAATTTGATAATGCTCAAGAATTATTATGGGCTGGAAGTAATGAAGTATGTTTTTATTATCTTTTGTACCTTCTATTTTTTTAATAAAGTTAATTATTAAAGGGTCGTGTTGTATCCTATTTTGGTTGTGAATTACGTAAATATACGGCATTTCGTGTTTCAACAACATCTGAAGTAAGACAAATATCGTCGTTAACAGAAGGACCGTTAATTTTAACATCCGATTCATTATCATTGTATACAAGACAAGGACTAAACATATTTCAACATAAGTATGCACTAAATTAACATCTCATACTTTTATAAAATGCACAAGATATAACTGGATCATTTTATGATTTGTTTTAGAGCACCTTATTTAGATAATATGCAATGTATGTTAATGCCATCAAGTCATAAACAAAAAAAAATTTACATAGGCGGTTATAGTGGAACATTATGTGAAATGGATTTTGATAAAAAACAATTATTAAGACAAGTAGATCAATAGAAATTATTTCATCTTGAAAAAGTATTAAATAGAGAAATTTATTATTTTTTTCGAAGGTGACGTTGGATGAAGGCGATTGTATTATTTTAAAATATTGTTCTCGAAATTTTATTGCAACTGGTGCAACAAATGGTGTTGTCAACTTACGTGATCCAAATTCGTTACAAATCATACAACGTTTTATACCTCATCATGGAAGTTTATCCGATATTGATATCAATAATATGTATCTTGTTACATGCGGATTTACAAGAAATAGGTACTATATACGTTCTTGAAGAGCAATTGATCAACTCTGATTTATTATTACCGTTTAGAATGGATCAATTATCATTGGATCGTTTTTTAGTTGTTTATGATTTACGTAATATGAAAAAAATGGCACCTGTACCCGTATTTATTGATCCATGTTTTTTACACTATCATACAATGACAAGTACATCGGTTATGGTAGCATCACAGGTATGACTACATCTTTTCAATTAAAAAATTGTCTCTATTCGTTATGTTCCTTTAGCAAGGACATCATACGCAGGTTGATTTAACTGGAGGAACACAATCTTACTCGCCTATAATTAATTTGACTACAAATCCAGCAGGAATAATTACGACATTTTCTGTATCTACAAGTATGCATTGTACAGCATTTGGACATTCTACAGGTATGCCTAATGAATTATCACATAGAGATAAAAGTCTGATTTTTTCTTTTTTATATAGGAACTGTTCATCTATTGTATAAAAATGATCCTCAATGCTGTTTTAACTATCAATCAGTCGAGACACAATTTGCAAAACAGCCAATTGAATCAAAAGTTGGTTACATCGATATAAACGATGAACTAGCGTCAATTTCAAATATTCCTATACCTATCACTCCGTTGAAACTAATATCGGATATGTCAAAACAATGGACAAAGCCTATTAGCAGGTAGAAAAAATAATAAATCCCACTGGTTCAATAACTCTTTTAATTTTAAAATATCATATAACTTCTTAACCGTTATTTTAATATATTCACTATTATCCGATATCTTATTAGATGTCTCACTCAATATTCGTATATTTTGTTTTTTACAGTACTATTGTTCTGTTTTAGACCTACACCAAAAATTCCCGATGAATTTTTAGAAAATGTTCGGGTATTTCAAGGTTTGGCTTGTGTTAAAAATCCAGCAAATCGTCGTGCTAATCAATGGCCATATTTACCTGATTCTGATCTTATCTTACCACGTGAAACAATTAAATTTTTACCGGATGATGAAGAAAATGAAACAACGAAAAAAGAGGAAGACTATATTTTATTGAATCAGAATGGCAATGGTGATACAAATAATGAAAACAATGATCATGAACAATTATTAACAACAGATATTGAAAATATGAATTTAAATCAACAACAACAACATCAAACGATATCTTCAAACATGGCATGAAGTCATTGGTATTGCTATTTTTGGAAAATCGAGTAAAAACGATGTATTAAGATTTATGGACACATTTCATTTGGCAAAATTTGTTGTTTTAAATCTCAGTTGCAATATATTTATACATACGACTTTTTCTCTTCTTCTTTTGCTTCAATATGATTTGTGAATCGGTTGCGTGTTACTTGTACTCTTTTGTTTGATTATTTATCATCTGTGCTCGGTTTTCTAAAATTGTAATTACCAAATGTACGATAAATATGTTTGTTGTATAGTTTAGTTCGACATGTCAAATGTACATATAGTTTTTAAATTAAATGTTATATTCTATGAATTAAGATGATGTTTAATATCAGTTACTGTTTAGAATACTGTTTTTCAGTAATATCATCGATGTCTTTGTGAGATTTGTGTACTTTTTTTTTGCAGGTAGTGTTAGGGATAACTATGAAACTTCGCCGCACAGTGAGAACTGTTATATTTATCATACTACTTTTGAACATGAATAGTTTTACTTATTCAGTTCAGCCGGCTATCCATTTCACAAAAGAGTGACCGCACAAACTCTATTTTATTTGTTCAATCTGATCATGTGTCTAAAATCATTAAAAAGTATTTTCTGACTTCGCCAAGGTATCTACTGTCCGTTTCAAAAAACGGCGACTATGGATATTTTTTGAATAACTTTTGAACGAAAAGCAATAGAGAGCTCGAGTTTTCACGATTTTGTAGTAAAAACTATAGGCTATCTACCTATGTAAACACATTTATATCCGAATGGATTTACTATGGTGTATCTGAGCGGTGAAAAAAATAGGAACCGAGAGATACTGAAGCTGCAATGGATTTTAAAATTAAAGTAATTGACTATTGTTTCTCAACTGAGATACTCGATTAAAATATGGATTGTATCTCAGTTGAGTCTAAACCTGCTATAATTTGAATAATGTGAACTATGTTAGGCTCATTAAAGCATTGTCTTTTTTATGATAATCTTCTGAAATACAAAAAAGAAACATCGTATCTAAACAAAAAGCCGAAGCTCGTAGAAAACCCTGTAGCTTGCCCAGTTCCCCTTTGGGCATTTTTCTACGGAAAAAAAAATTTCAAGTCATGACTTGTGACTTGACTTGGAAAAACTCGAAACTTGACTTGATTGGAGAAAATTTTTTATTACTCATGACTTGACTCGACTTGATTTGAGAAAATTTTTGATGACTTAACTTGCGACTTGGAAAATCTGTGACTGCCCAGCTCTGTATAGAAGTGAGAGTTGAGTAAAACACCCAAACAACTCTACAAGATATTTTCATGAGCTACTTTTTCTATTTAGTTTGACTTCAACAGAAAATTTTTTTTCAATTTCCGGTCCAAGTCTGTCGTGATGTGAAGACACTAGTGATTGGAAGCTCAAAAATCGAAACTTCATACATGAAAAAATGCAAGCATGTTTTTTTATTTCAATTTAACTCAGATTGAAATAAAAAATGATCTCTTTCATCTTTCTGAAAGATAAAAACAGCTTCATCTAGATTGATTGATTGACTTTACACTAGATGTATATATTCTACCATCAATGCAGTTATAGTTATATGTGTCGAAACTTTTTTTTATACGAACTAAATAGTAGACAGTCAGTTGACTTTGTGTCCAGCAACGAAATCATATTCTCAAGAACAAGCTGAAATAAAAGTAACTCTGGTTATATTTATAAATTATTAGCACTAATGACGATACGCCGAATGCATAATAATTATACTGTTTATTATGATGATACAAAACTCTGTGTGATGCCTATGAGGGTGCTTCCACACAGGTCCACCCATTTTATACCGAACGTCTTGCCGCGAAAACGTCACTTTGCCCATCGTGTAGAGCATCAAAAATAATCTAAAGATCTCGCTTACGCTTTTTTGAAAAAACGTGTGGAAAGTGGTTTTCTAGACACCTCAAG